GGGGCGGTTGAAAGACCTCACTGAACTGGTGTATGAGCGGTTGTACTGTAGAGGGAACATTTCCTTCCTCCTCAAATCTGACCCCTTCCAGGCGGTGCAACTCTACTAAGTAGCCTCTCCCCTCTTCCTGAATGGTTCTGATGAAGGATTTGAGAGAAACCCCCGCCTTGGTCAGTCCAGAATTATCCTGAATCGTCCTCTTTCTGCCCCCAACCACCAACTCCATCCTCAGTGTATCTCAATTGATTTTGGCCTCTCCCAATGTCTGCAGTCATTTCATCCCAAGGATGACATCCGTACTCCCCAATTCTAAGGGAAGGAAGTCTTCCTTTATATGGATCCCTTGAATCTTCAGTACTACTCCTCGACAGACTCATCGACCCATCTCTACCTTTCCGGTGTCCATCATTACCCCGTAACCTCCGGCATCCACTAGCTCCATCCCCAATACATCAACAATTTGCGTGGAAATGAAATTGTGTGTTGCTCCATTGTTTATCAACTCCACAACCTCACGGTCAGAGATCTCTCCTTTCACCTTCATAGTGTGACTTGAAGTGAGTCTCACTACTGAGTTCAGAGAGACTTCTACTACGTCCAGATGTAACTTCTCCTCCTCCTCCACCTCGGGGTCATTCTCACCTCCCTCTTCGTCTTCCTCATCTTCACAAACGAGGAGAACCTGAAGAGATCGGTCCTTGCACGTATGCCCCGGCATGTACTTCTCATCACACCTGAAGCACACCCCTATTGCCCTTTTTTCCTGCAGCTCCTCAGTCAGCTTTTTGAATTGTCCACCGTTACCCCCTCCTCTAGCTTTATCCCTTGGTGCCTCCTTCAGACTCCCTGAAGATCCCCCCTTTGAAGGCAAGATGGTAGTAGTCATCCTATACGACCCCCCCGAATAGTTTCCTCGGGCTCCTCTTTCAGATTTCTTCTGATCCTCCACCAACTGTGCTAACTCCATAGCCTTCCCTAGGTTCCTCGGCTCCAATACTCTTACTGTTGTTCGGATCTCTGGTTTCAGCCCTTTCATGAAGTTCTCTTCAAGGGCTGACTCTGAAATGTGATCCAATCTGCTAGTCAAGTACTCGAACTTGTCCCGGTAGTCTGCCACGGTCCCCTCTTGAGTCAAAGCAAAGAATTGATCATAGAAGTCTCCTCCATCATCGGCTCGGAAACGCTCCAATAAACAATCCTTAAACTCTCTCTAGCCGCGAATGGGCTCCCTCCTGTCACGCCACTGATACCATGCTAAGGCTTTTCCCTCCAAGCACATTCCCGCCACTGTCAATTTCTCCTTCTCTGTCAGTCCATTGACAGCAAAATATCGTTCCACCTTATAGATCCACCCATGTCTTCGCCCTCGAAGACGGACATCTTCAGCTTCCTCACCCTTGAATCTCCTCCATAACCTCCCATTCCTCTCAGAGGAGGCGCTCCCCTCCCCAATTATCCCGATCGTCCCTCCGACGAATATACTCAAACCCCTCTTCATACTCACCTCTCCTCCCTTCAACATCATCACCTCGACGCTGAATACCTTCAAATTCAGCACCTCGACGATGACGTTTGTGGGCTCCAAAAAATTCTAATTTTTTAGGATGTGATGATCCCGGGGGAATTTTCAGAAGGCAGATTGGGTTTGTAGATAAGACACTACCCAGAGATTTCGCCCTCATTTGGTGAGGACTTTTTGATCTGAGTTCTGGTTTCCTATAGGCGCAAGCCCCTATAGTTAATTACCCCTCCCAATAATAGGAGAGAACTTTCGATTAAGGCTAGTC